AAGAACGTTTTGTACTAATAATCCTTATTATTTACGTCAACTTTGATACTAACGGAAGCAATCAGGGATAGTGATGTTGTACCAACTTTGATACTAACGGAAGCAATCGACGAGTATAAGATGCCCCCACTTATAAAGGAGATAAATGATTTAGGTAAAATGGGTTAGAATTAAGTGCATAGGTTAGTTGAATATACACTTTTAGTAGATCTACTTCTCAATTTTTCTGATTGAACATGCCAGTTTAGTCAATAATACTGATTTTAGAGTGAATTCCAAGAATGTTTTAGATGAACCTTTGTCCATGCTATTTAGGGCCTACTTGGGAGTTTTGGACGTTTTTTAAAGTGCAATTTTGATTGTTTATGAGAAGGTTGATTTTGTGTAAGTTTTAGTAGCGATTTTCAAAACAGTTAAACAAATGTTTGAGAGTTTATTATCAAACGTTCTAAATATTTTTTTAAAAGAATAAAACTACATATATGTCCCTTATTAAAATTTTCAATTTATATTTTTTATACAATTTTTTTACTTATAAGTGATATTTTACTTATAAGTAATTTTTTATATAAGTTATTTTAATTTGAAAAATGAAATATTTACTTATAATTAAACTATTAAATTATAAGTAGTTTTTTTTTTTTTTTTTTGAGTAAAATATGACTGATAAGAAGAATTAATTGGGTTGGCAATATTATAAAATTTCGATCTTTAATTGTGTTCATCGGTGTTCAATCCAATCGATTAAGAGTAATATTCATCCCCAGTGGGGATGAAAACACAGTTTATGTGACTGTAAATGATAAGTGAAATGAAACCTATCATTTAATGCCACATTAATGCCATCTAGATTGTGTTTCCCTCCCCAGTGGAGATGAATAGCATTACTCATCGATTAAACCTCCAAAAAGTGTACGTAACCCTTTTTCTTCATTGGTGTACTTCGTTGCCCTGTTGACAGGAGTTTTGTTTATTGTGGACGGTTGCAAGCAAAAGCATGTTATGTGCGGTTAGTGTACCAAAGAATAATTAGAATGAAGAATTCACATTTTCATTTAGTCAATACAAAGTGATTATAATTGAATAATTTATGACCTAGAATCGACACTTTCTATCAAATGTGGACGTTGCTTAGAGACAAGTAATGTGGGGAATCTTAGACAAAATTAGTGAGTGGAGTAAATGATGAATACGATAAATTTTGTTTATATTGTTCAATGGCTGAGTGATTCTTATTAAATGTGTAGATAACTTGGAACGAAATTATCAATATGAATTCCGTCGATTATTACTCACGCATCTCATGATCTATTGCTAATGGCAATGTTATTGATAAAGTTGCCGGCAACTACCAACGACGTTTCGATCGTAATCACTTGTGCTGACAAAAATAAGTACTCCGATCTCTGACATAAAGTAAAACAGCTCGAATAGGGATCTAGATATAACTCTTCAACGTTATGTTCTAGTGCGAAATAGACCCACAAATTAAGATCACCCAATAAAATTTACAAAACATGAAGTTTATATGAATTGAGAGTTTCTAAAGTGATCTATCTCAACTTTGCCAGCTTGAGAATCAATGAAGGGAACCGAGGTCTAGAGGTCTCTCCGACGTTTGGAAAGAATGGTAGTCCTAAAAACATATTTGCTTGTGAAATTTCGCAAGTGTATTGATCCTGACTAGTAATAAAGTGGATTTATCAAGTCCAAATATCGTTCCACAAAAATTACTGTCTACTATAAATTTTTAAACTAACATAACTGCAATTTAAATTAAAATGGTAACTAATTATTAAATCAAATTGTGTTTTCTAACCAAAGTTCTAATAAATTAAATGAGATAATCACTTTGACACGATAGATAAGATTATACGATGAGGTAATTAGGATTTTCAATTTCACTTAGATTATTTAACTTACATATAATTCCAATTCAATTAGCCATTTTTTTATACGTGCCAACGGTCGAATTAACCTAATATAGTTAATGATATCTCTTGAACAACACTAATCATATTCATATTCCGAACTTTTTATATCTCTATATAAATTCACACACATATGAGCGCATTAATTTGTAAGAATTTAATATGGATCGCATAGTCTATAATTATTTCTCGATATCTTATAATACCTATTTTATTTATTGCACGCGTTAGAATCATACATCACATCTTGGTCTCAGTATTATTCCTAAATTAATCAATTGTTGCGCATACAATTGAAGCATTAAACACACAATAATTAATTAACACGTATTAAAGTGTCATGAAAATCTTGGAATTAAACAAATATTAAAAACCCTAAACTACATCATCAATCCTAACATAAAAAGTATAAAATCACTCATAATGTTGAAAACAAGCAAATAAAAGTTGGAAAACATCACCGGGTTCAATTACACTCAACAAGAAAAAAGGTCCTCCGAGCTATTGTTAAGCTTTGCCACACGAATTCTTACGATATTCTTTGTCTCCTTCCTCGAGCAGTGTAAATCTCCCGACGATGACGAACGTGATTAATTTTCCTCAAATTCTTGAATAATTGCCTAGAATAAAAAAATTTCCTCCAATTTTTCTTCCTGCCGTCTCTGTCCTCTTTTCCCCCTCCTTTCTGCCGTATCTATCTTCTCTCCTTTTCCTTTACTCCCCTTCCTTTTTTCTTTCCTTATTTTCAGCCCAATTAAATTTCTCAATCCACTACTTCCCTTTTGATGTTGATTCATTTTCTAATTTCCATTCCAACACTTAATTTGACTTCAATCATATTTCTTTTTGCCCTCCAATTTGATTATAATTGCATCAAAATTTTATCTTCCCATTCTTGCAAATCAATCCTTTTAAGTGTGAAATTTGATCCCAAAATTGTAGATTTCATTCACTTTCATCCTTCTTCGTCAATAATTGCGCCAATCTGTGTTTTCTTCTACATAATCCAAAAAACACAAATAATTAAGTACCAAATTCATAATAATACCAATAAAAATCAATTTTGGTGGCTTAAATAAGTGTAAATTTAACACTTATCAATATTCCATGGGCAAGAATGATATGATGAGGTGACATTAAATGGGGGTAGGACCCAATGTGAGGTGACATTAAACCCATCTTTGGTTCTACTAAAACTCAGTTTTTTAATTTATTATGATAAGAGTTGATGAAATGTTTAGTTAAAAATTATGAATCTCATTAAATGTGCAGTGGAAAATGAGATTCGAAAAAAATGAGTTTCAAAAAATGGGAACCACCAAGGGCTTCAATGATGAGGTCAAGAAATTGTTAGGACTCACGATTTCATCGTACTTATTCCCTTTAATCTGGCCTCTCAAGTTCGATTCCTAAAGTCATATTCAAAAACGCATTCAATCACCTAGAAATTCAATTAAAGATAGCAACAATAATAAAATAGTATCTCTATTTTATAAAATTGTCGAATTTTACTATATAGTCTAAATCTGTAACTTATCTCTCAGTTTGTTAAATATATAAATCAACGGAGTGGTGACCAATTACTTTAAAGACGAATAAAGAATAGAAGTAAAATCAACACTTGAAAGAATTAATTTTAAGTATCCATCTTGAGAATTGTATTTAAAATTTAAAAACTATGTTATATTGTCAATCCTAACTTTGAATTTAGTTGCACATCATGGAAGAAGAAAAATTCAAAAAAGAATTGTAGCACATCACTTGATTTGAAGGAAAAACAAGAAAAAGGTTAGACGATCTTGCACCAAATCGCTTTCTTGCCCCCATCAAATCTTTAAAATCGTAGCTTTTCCTTGATTTTTTTCTCTAATTATTGATTTTGAAATACTTCTCGGTTGGAACGCGGCAAGCAGCAATTCCCAACGAACCGCGGTGAATCCACAACTATTCATCCTGTGAGATTTGGTTTTCAATTGGATATTTTGTACAAGTTTGGTCCTTATTTCAAGGTTTTATTTGGTTTTTCTTCTTTATCATTCTAATCCCCAATTTTTCTGTTGCCACTTTTAAAAACTCTCATGTTGGTCCCCTAACCTCCACAGTCATTCGAAATTGGCCCTCTGTAAGTTCTATAAGTGTGCGAGTTAGTCCCCATATTTTTCAAAGTGTGGATTTTACTCTCGAAACTTTAGAATTTCCTTTGATTGCTCTCTTAAATACATCTTATCAATCACGTGAAATTTGATTATCCCTCAATTGCTCTGAATCAACCCCAATTAAGCTTAATACTCAATTAGCAATTATTTATCAAGTTCAAAAGCATGAATAAATATGTAAAATACTCTTCACCATTCCTAACAACACTTGTCATATTTTCAAAGGTTAAAATGTTAATTGGTTAAAAAAAAAAAGGATAAAAGATGGAAAAATAAAGGAAAAAGGGGAAAAAAAAACCCTTCAAGTCTCCCACATGATTTAGGCACATTGTAATTGTAATAAAAAGTGTAAAGAAAGAAGTGAGAGGAGAAATTGATCCTCCAAACAAGAATTAAAATTTTTAAATTCACCTACGTATAAATTATGTTTTTAACTTTTATGGTATTTTTCTATAATTAGTATTTAATATTTACTTCATTATTTGTGAAAAAACTTCATCGATATATAAAGTTATCAAAAGATTTATTTCTTGAAATTATCACCAACTTCAAAACTCTGCTCCCAACCTTATATTGTTAATATTACATGCGTGCCTCTTACCGTTAATATTTTTATTACTTTATTTATCATTAGAATTTTCGTCGGTAAACTATATTTATTAACTAATTAACATAAGCATCTTTAATTATAAAAGATAGAAAAATGTAACTTGAAAATTTCTTAGGTAGCAAAACTATTTGAAATATAAATATGGTGCCTCAGGCGATGGTCTCGAATCTTATATTTTTATATTTTAGAATGTAATATAAATAAGTAAATGAAACAGTAAATGAAATATTTTAATCTGCCTCGCCTAGCCATCACCGTTGCTATTCCGTATGCAGATTCCATTATTTTGGCCCATTTTCAATAGAAAATTAGAGGCCCATTCAAGTGGTCCATGGGCCCCTAGAGTTGGCCCGGGCCCAGCTCAAGCAACAGGTTGAGCCTGGTCCATGCTTCAAACTTGTCATGACCTCATAAAATTTTGATACTTCAATTAATAAGAATAATTATGTTCACATAATAATTTTTGTTGAGTAATATTTCAATTACACTCAAGTCCTCAGCCTGCTCATTATAGAACATGTCTCTTAACTTTTTTCGTCGAATTNCTCTACCAAACATGGCACAATAGAAATGGCAAATAAAAAATAAAATAAAATATTGACATTATCACCAATTATTTCAATTAAGAGCTTGTTTGGGAGAGATTTTTGGGGGAAAAATTGATTTTGAATAGTAATATGATGGGAAATGTATGGTTGAAAAAGAAGAAAAAATTATTGATTTGATGGAAAATATTATTTTATTAAAAAATGTGTGGTTGAAAATGATAATTGATTTACTATAAAAAATGAGAATCTGTACCAAACAGGCTCTAAATGATGGTTTCTATCAAAATAGATTGTTTGTATTTGAAATGGTGGAAAAAATATTTTGTCAAACTTCTATATTCATTGGTTTTTTTAATATATGATGGAATTAATCGTTTTACACTCTCTCAGACTTTTTGGATGAAAATCATTCTTAGACACGGCATAGTTAGTTATTGATTCATTGAGGATAAGAATGTAATGAAAAAAGGGTAAAAATATTCATAATATTGGCAACTATCAACTTTGTTTTACCTCTTGAGGCAGAATTTATTATACATGCTCCTTGGTACAAGTTTTATTCGTGTCAATAATCTCAAGTAAGATCGTGCAAGAGTCGAATTTACATTCGTTAGACATCATTTTGATTGCACAAAATATAATAAGCAAACATCCCATAAATCAAGGAATAACTACTTTGCTTTCCATGAAAGTACACATTTGCATATTATCCAAACTATTTCTAACAAACATAATGCGGCAAGACAAAATTCTCGAAGTTATTGTTTACAGTAATCTATAAATTCTCT